AATGCCAATGTCACATTCTTATTCACAGAGTCCAGCTTCTCAAATGATTTGCTCAGCACACAGATTGAGTAGGTATGGAGAAAGGATACAACCTTAATGCATGCCTTTCCTCCTTTTAAGCCATGCCATGTTTTAAACCATGTACCTTAGGCACAAAAATTAGTATTTAGAGCACATATTTTGTCAGGACATAATTCAATCTATAACATTCTGGAAGCCTAATCTCCTTTTTCCCATAAGGCAAACACCCACTTATCCAATGCTGTTATTGTTATTCAACATTGAGTTGATTTGGACTCAGGTGCAGAATTGAAATTCCCCATAGGTGTTTTAAAGTTATGACCTCTTGCAAACAGATCACCTGGCCTATCTTACAAAGGTGTGTCTGGGTAAATACCATTGTTATCACCTTTAGGACAACTCAGGTGCCCTTTGTGAGTCTCCAACCCCCGCGGCTACTCTTGCCTCTGCATCCCCTTCGCACTTTGCTCGTTCTTTGTGTCATAATACCTACCACATTATTAAGTCATTGTTTCTGTTTGTGTTACTGGTTTCTCTGCTTCATGGAAACAGTATATAGCTTACACATATTTCCCCAATTTTTATGTCAAGTGGGGGTGGTAGTGAAGCAGATTTGTTTCCCTTCCAAAACCCTTACCCTGGAGGTCACTCACCTATAGGTTTCCAAGGAGACTACGTCTCCTTGCCTAGATATTTATAGGCAGGGCAAGAATACCAAAGGCTAATGTCTCAGGGTCAATTATCAAGCAATAAGGGTTGGAGCAGGTAGACAAACACACCACATTTCTGCCCCTAGTGATACAAGTTCTATCCAGTCCCTCAAAGGTCCCTTGTGAAAATGACCCCTTGTTGCCCATAGTGGCTTGCTTCCTTTTGGTCTCATTTCTTCATTCCCACACTGCGCTCCCTGGAATCACACTTCAGATAATCTACTTGCATCCGAATACATATTTTAGGGATTGCTTTTGAGTAGACTCAAACCAAGCTGTGCTTGCAATCCCAAAGGCACATGGTTCGAGAAGGATGGGCAATCTCCTCTGTTGAGATTAATTACCTCTGAAAACCCACCAGAGGGTTAGCCATGGGTCTGTTCTAACTCAACGGTACACAACAACAAAACATAGTACTAAACAGACAATGAATGAACTTTTTTAAAAAAAATATGTCGCACCTAACACTAAGGGTGTAAGAAAGGGGCTATTGCTCATATAAATGAACTTTTTGGAAAGAACATGGCAGATGCAAGCTGACCCTGAAACAGCTTGAGAGAGTGGGAATGGAGCCTGGCTGGGGAGTTTTCTTTTGCTTAGAAGATGCAACTGAGGTCCACCTATAATAGGTACCAAAGGAGTTTCTCATCAATTTGCCCAGGCGTAGGTGAATAAATAATCTTGGTAGCCATCTTCTCATCACAGGCTACCAAATAGACTTGGCTTCACATTCTTCTCTTCCAATAGCACTCCATGGTCAAGCACTCTGACCTCACATTCATCAAACCCCTCATTTCCTTTGTCAATGGTCATTCAGAAGCACCTACTCTGATACTCACCAAGGGCTGCTCTCTTGGATATTAAGTGTTGAGAAAGGAAAATCTCCTACTAGGTTGGCTGGACCATTTCATCAGTATAATTTTTAGCCTTCAACATAATGTCAAAATTGTTTTGCTTGCCTCTATTTTTCCCCCTTTAGATAGATAAAATAAATGCCTATTTTTCAACTTTTCTTCATCTTCAACCCCATCAGGGGTACTTGAGTAAGTTAGGTGATCAAGTTTTGGTAATGGTTGTCGTGGTTGTTGTATGTGCTGGGTGTTATTTGTTCCTACTGGTACAGCACTTGTCTGTCAGTCTGCTGTACTGGTGTAGATTGTAGAGTGCTCTAATGCTGAGATCTGTGCACCAATCAATGTCTTGGGCACCAGAAGAGTCAGCCATTGAGGACTGCAATAAAGCTCCTAGATAAAGACAGACGAGGAAGAAGAATTAGCCATCTGCTTCCAAAAATCAAGCCTTTAAAATCCTATGAACATAAAAACATGGGTAGTTACAGTATTAGATGTAAAGCCTAAATAGGAAGTCATTAAAAAGGAGGAGAAACAGCTGCAAACATTGTGACTTCAGCAATGGCTCTAGTCTCTCAGAGATGGTGAGGATGGCACAGGATAGGGCAGATTTCAGTCTGGCTATTAAAAGGGCTGCCTATAAGTCGTACTTGATTCAATGGCTGACTTTAATAATGGCTAGAAGTGTTTAAATTCCAGACTGGAAAACTAACTTACCACTGAGGTCCCGTGGTAGAACTAAATAAAGGAGGAAATGGGGCCCAGGCACACCAAGTGAATTGTTATGCAAAGGGCAGGAGATAATTATCATAGGGCTATCAATCTGTCAGGGTAGTCTGGACTGATTAGAGAAAAGGGGTTCCACAGTGATAGTCAAGCAAAAACGAACAGCATTTGGGTAAGTATAATAAATCACATTGTTTTTGCAGAAGAAAGGATGGAGGCACAAAGAAAGTAAGTAAGTTCCTCACGGCCACACAGTGAATGGCAGAGCCAGGACTTGAACTCAGGACAGTCTGGCTCCAGATCCCATGAGCTCACCGACTATACAACATTGCATCTACTGATTTTAAAATACAAAATTACTGATGAATGTCAAATATACTGATAAAAGTCAGCTTTATACCATTCATTATCTGCCTTCTAAGACTGGGAGGCTTATCATGCATTATCAGATCTATATACCTATACGGCAAATCCATTTTATTTTTATATATGTGTGTGTCTGTGTGCGTGTGTGTCTACAAATTCAGGTGAAAACTTTATCTGCCTCATTATTTCAGATCTCTTGTTAATGAACATAAAATGAATATTGTTGTCATTGTTGTTCTGTGGTTGCCGGTCACCGGGTTATTGTGCCACAATGACTCATTTGGTAAACTGAGGCATCTAACAATATAGCTAACTACATGTACTTCAGGTTCCATATTTGAAAAATTCATGGCTGTAGCAGAAACTATCTTGGATCCCTCCTAACTCTAAGATTATGTATTTTTTCATGTTTGTGTGTACAAGAAGGCTTTGATTTCAAGCTCTTTTATTAACCTTGATATGGTTATATTAACCCACTGATATGGGTAGCTGGGGCCACTGAGGGCAGTCTGTGTGACGATGACCATCAAATATTGTTTAAAGTCACACAATCTCCACGCTTTTTAAAACATTAGCCGCAGCACATATCTCTGTGCAAAACCCTTTGTGATCACTGCGTCAAACCCCTTCAGATTTGCAAACTATCACTTGAACCATGTCACACTTCCACTAATAGTTCTTATTTCTAAGTGTCCTTGACACTTAAAAGCAGATACTGATTACCAGCTATCCCAGGCCTGGATTTGGGTCTGCCACATATAGAAAGGGATTAGCTGATCAGGGCTAAACTTGGCTCAGAGATCACTCTCTGCGTGGCCCCATCCTAGTTTTCCTTTATGCTACAAGCTTCTGGCCAGTCCTAGACACCTCATGCTCAGGCAAGATCTACACTTTAAAATGTAAAGAACATCCCCATGTAGCAAACTGCGACTGGGAACAGATCACAGTTCTCTGCACCAGATACTCCAGGTTCAGGCAAGGGAGCAATTCTTATTGAACTGATTACCAGGTCACCAAGAATGTAAGAGCCTCTGACCTTTGGCCACCTTAGCATTAGAAAGGTCTGTGTTGCTCAACCTGTTCCTGATAAGGTCTCCTGGGAATGCTAGAGAATATAATCTAGAAAGCAAGACTTCAAAGACCTATAGTGAATTGAAGAGGAAAAATTGTACGCAGACTTTGATTACATAATTTTTAACCCCTTCTTCAAAAAACATATCCCCAAAAAGGCACAGGATGGAGACTGCTGGGAGATTGCTCCTCCTTCAGTAAAGTCCTGTCACCTCACCTTTCACACCTACATGTGCAGAGTTGAACTACTTCACAGGGATTTCAATGCTGTGACTTTTGAGGAGGAGATAGGCTTGTGTTTGGAGTCACCTCTGGATGTGTTCGAACCTCCAGCTTTTCAATTAGGAGTTGAGGGCTTGTGTGTTTGCACCACTCAAAAATCTTGGGGTGGTCATGAGAAAGAAGGGACTCCACTAAAGCATATGGACCCTTGTTCCTCAGCGTCGACCCGGTTACCCTTCACCATGTGAGACCTGAAGGAGACCTTCAAATAAAGACTCTTTATTTCTCTTTACTTGTACCTTCTCATGTCTTCTGCATAATAGGTGCTCAGAAAAATGGTTATTGAACTAGTGTGTGTGGGTGAGTGAAAAAATGGTCATGCTGGCCAAAGCATCAAGTATGCCACATGCTTTTAGAAAGGATGGCACTTAATTCTCCTCATTTTTCTGATGAAGAAAACTGATTTGGGTGGGTTGGTCCAGGTGGAGAGTTTTCCTGAGGCAGAAGGGCATGTGTGAGGAGTTAACAGAAAGAAGTAAATGTTCTTTCTTTCCTGAAGGGGAGGAGGGGCGGGACCTGGCACTGTGCCACTTTGCAGGTGGCCGTGCACACCTGGTGTGCTTGTTTGGGTAGGTAAGGAAATAGGACATCTTTTCACCATCATTTACCCGAGAGAGGTGGCCATCTCTCGGGTAAGCAGCAGTCAGAAAGTTTACACTTTGAAGTGTGTCCTGTTGCCTGTCTCTGGTTATCCCCGTGGGCTTCAGGCCAGGCCCTACCCACAGCGCGCCCCACCACGCACTTGGGAAAACAGTATTACTCACTTCGCAGTTGTGGGAAGAGAAGGGTCTGGAGACAGGGACGCAGGTCTCATCCAACTGCAGGAGTGTCTCTTCCCTAGGACTACTGAAACTTGGCCTCTATCCACAGCCAGCCAACGTCGCCACTCGCCCACCGCCAGCTTCACTGTCCTTCTCCTCAACCTCCTTCACCCCTGATGCGCTGCTTGGTTTCCCAGCCCGAGAGCACTCACCTTGCCACTCGAGGACCCGCTCTGGGGTGAGCTCCGCCGCCGCGCCCTCTTGACAGCCCCCGGGGCCCCTTAGCAGCAGCAGCAGCGGCAGCAGCAGCAGCGGTGGCCGCAGCAGCATCGCTAACCACTGCGCTAACGCCGCGCGCCCCACGGGACAGCGGCTCGGGAAGGGAGGCGGGCCCTCAGCCCTCCCCCGGCTCCGCCCCGCCCTGGATCCCAGCCACCCCGGCGACGCACTGGGCCACCTCTGTCGCCACAGTCAGCGGACACTTGGGGCTCTGTGCTGGAAACATGGAGAGCGGCGGAGGTTTGCCCCGCCCTACCCACCCAGACTTAGGGAAGGAGGAGGACGAGGGGGTGGACCATCTGCCCATCCCAGAAATTCTTGCCTTTGAGGTGGAGAGAGAAGAGGGTGAGGCTGGCCGGCGCCGCCTCCTCCTCCCCCTCCTCCTCCTCCTCCTGGCGTCCCGCCTCTTTGCCTCCTTGGGGAATCCTGAAGAGGAGTTAGGGTGAACTAACCGAGAAGCTCCAGGACAGGAAGTCTTCACATCTGGATTTGCAAACCACTTAGATTCTGGTAAACACTGAGGGTTTGGCAGGAGGCATTTTAAAGTAAATCAAGCTCCTCTGTGAACCCACACTCTTGGAAATTCCGACCCCTGGAGACCCCCGAAGAGCTCTCCGGTTATCACCCTCCTCACTCCAGAGGAACTCCGAGACTGTTCTAATGTTGGACGCCTGTACACATAAAAGTTACCCAGACTCTGGCTGTCTCCTGTGACTCAATAAAATAGCTGAGAAAAGTCCCAATATTCCACAGTATAGCTGATGAACTCTGCCGCAAAGTTGCAGTGATTTGCTTCTTGTAGGCAAAGATGGTAAAATTTGTCTCACATACTTTGGACATTTTTCCAGGAGGGGCAGTCCTTGGAAAAGGACAACATGCTGGTAATAGTGGCGGGTCAGAGAAGACTCAGCTAGTTGGATTGACACGGATTGTACCGAGGGGCTGGAGTATATCAGAGGATAAGAAAAGATTTAGATCTGTTGTTCATAGGGTCACTATGAGTCATAGTCTCTTCGGGTTCTTACTCCTGTTAAGTTGTTTTTGTAAAGCACCATCAAGTAGGCTATGGCTTTGGCTTGTTGGATGGAGGTCTTCCTCTTTCCGTGACCCTCCATCTTTCTGAACATGATGTCCTTTTCCAATGACTGGTCCCTCCTGATAACGTATGTAAGACAAAGTTTCACCGTCCTTACCTCTAAGGCGCATCCTGGTTTCACCTCCTCCAAGATGTGTCTGTTCTTTTAGCAGCCCATAGGGTGGATATTTAGTACTCAACACAATTCAAAGACATGGACTCTTCTATCATCTGTATTCCTCACCCAACTTTCAGATGCATAGGAAGTCACTGAAACGACCTACCCATGAAAGATTTTTCTTTTAAGGTGTATGCTTGGGTCTTCATTAGCTGAATTCTAACTTTCCTGATCTGAACCATCTCAGGGGAAAATAATTCATCACATCTTGTAAAAAGAGAAAGTATATGAGAAAATAAGGATGTCTGATTCAGAGCAAATCTAGCAGTTAACTCAGTTAAAAACAGTTAAAACTTTCCCTTCTTTTTCTTTGAAAAGGTTATCATTGTTACAAAGTCAGAAGATCTTATTATATTAATAGAAGAGATTAATACTTAACTAGAAATTGCAGGGCAGAGAGGCAAACTACTACAGTTAAAGGATTTACACTTGATAAGGAAATTGAAGGAGAATTGATGCCTTTGAGCTATGGTGCTGGAGAAGAGTACTGAATATACCATGGATGGCTGGGAGAACAGATTCATCTTAGAGTGGGTGAAATCAGGCTATTCCTTGGAAGCAAGGATTCTGGAGTGCCATCTGACATACATTGGCAATTTGTAAGGAGGTACCAGTCCTTGGAGAGGGACATTATGCTTGGGAGGATGAGGGGACAGCACAAGAGAGGAAGACCCTCTATGATATGCATTGATTCAATGTCTGGGATAATTGGGGTAGGTGTGTCAGAAACAATAAGGCTGGCACAGGATAAAGTAGGGTTCAGAGCTGTGGTACATAGGGTTGCTATGAGTCACAACTGACTCAATGGTACATAACAGCACAACACTGCCTTTCTAGACTAAAAGGATACTTTTCTTTTTAAAAATATTATTAAAGAAATATTGTTGTTACTGTGTACCATTGATGAATGGTCTGCCAGCTATGAAACCAATCCATAGCTGACCCTCCAGAAAGTTTTCAGAGGCAGTAAATCCTATGGAATGAGATTGCTCAGCTGGTGAATTTGAACCTCATGCCCTTGGATTGGTAGCTGGGTTTTTATTACTTTCTTGCCTGCTAAGGAAATAAAAAATAGTTCCAAAGATAAGACAACTTTAAAAAATTCTTCTACCCCGTCTTATCAGCATGGCATGGAAAGAGGCCAGGGAACAATATTTATTTAATAACAGTTTGCCATAAAACAGTTTTCAGTCTTACCCCAGAATTTCTTTTTCCTGAAATGGAATGATTTAAAAAAAAAAAAAATACAATACAGGAGACAAATGGTCTTACTAAGTGATTTACTATTGAAGGTGACTTTAGGAAAGCAGTTTCTTCCAGGTTCAAGGTTCAAAAGAACATGTAAGATTGCTCCAACCTCCATGAATCCTGGGAAGATAGATTCCAGAATAATTAAAATTATTTTCCATTCTGAAGCAAAACCTGAGAGGTGATTTCAAACACAGAGCCCGATTCAAGTTCAATTTTCAAATTGGTAAAGAAGTAAATTTAACAATAGCTAAAACTGTCATTATATGCAGATGATAAGATAGTATACACAGTAAACCCTAAAGACTCAACGACAACCTAACAAAACCACAACAAAACAAAACAACACACCAAAACTCCGAGCTAGAACTACTAGAAGATTTTAGTAGAGTGGCAGGATATAAGATCAACACACAAAAAAACAGTTGGGTTTCTCTACAGCTACAAAACAATCATGGAAGAGGAAACAGCAACAGCAATACCATTTACAATAGCCTACAACAAAGTAAAATACCTAAGAAAAAACCTAACTAGAAACACGAAAAACCTTTATAAGAAAAAATTTAACACACTGTTGTTATGTGCCATCAATTCACGCGCAACTCATAGCAAACCTATGTACAACAGTTCTGAAGCATGCCCTGTACTGAGCCAGTCTCACTGACTCCAACACACCTACCTCCATTGCCCCAGTCACTGTATCAATCCATCTCAGCTGCAGTCTTCCTTGCCTGTGCTTTCCCTCTACTCTTTCAAGCGTGATGTCCTTCTCCAAGGAAATAATAAAAAACCTAATTAAACAGAAAAATATTCCCTGTTCATGAACAGGAAGATTCAACATTATGAAAATGGCAATCCTACCAAAAACAATGTATAAGGTTGAAACCAAAAGGATTCCATTTCACTGACCTTGTGACCCTGCCTAAATATGTCCCTGTATTCCAGGAAATAGCAAATAATTCGATTAATGTTTACCCCAGGAGGTAAAACAGAGAGTGCTGAAATAATGGAAAAAGGCCCCAAGCCCTTGAAACTGCTGAGACTACCCTCAAATAGCCAACGTAGAATAGATAAATGCCCTACTCTTTGTTTTTCTAGTTCTGATGCCAATTGAGCCAATTGAGCCTCAATTCAGTTTCAACAAAGCGCACATTTTAAATAAAACATATTTGCTATACACTCGGCTATTGTTCCTTCTGGACTTCATAGTGAATTTGGAACTTTCACAATCTATATGTTCAACCCAATGCCAGTACAGATGCCAAACTCATTCTTGATACAAAAGTCAATTTCCAGTTTATTTGAAAAGCAAAGAGACCCTGAGTAAGCAAAGCTCTTCCGAAAAATAAAAATAAAAGTGGGAGACATTGCACACCCTAATTTTAAAACCCTCTCCACAGTCAAAGTAACCAAAACACTGTGATATTGGTACAATAACAGACACATAGACCAATGGAATAGAATCAAGAACCCTGATCAGAATCAATCTACCTATGGTCAATTGATATCTAACAAGGAAATAAAACCTCCTAAATGGGGAAATGACAACTTCTTCAACAAACGACACTAGCAAAACTGGACATCTGCCTGAAGAAAACAGAAACAAGATCAACATCTCACACAATACACAAAACCCAAATCCAGGTGGATCATAAACATAGAAATAAAACCTTAAATCATAAAGATCTTAACAGACGAAATGAGAAAATTAGAAACCTTAACCTAAAAACATAAACACTTGCAAATTTGTCTTGTGTAATGGGGATATCCATTATAGTATAGAAGTAGAGGATTCAATCCTGCTTGACTAGACTAGCACCTATAACAAGAGGTTAGCAGAGCCTATGTAGCATAAAGGTAGATAGATAAGTGTGACAGGGGAGCTCTGGTGGCCTAGTGGCAAGAAGCTGCACTGCAATCCCAGAGGCTCATGGTTCGAATCCACCAGATGCTCTGCCGGGAAAGGAGGGACAATCTCCTCCTGTACCAGTCAGATCTGATCTGACAGTACACAGATACACACACACAAAAATAATAAAAAAAAAAAAGATAAGTGTGACAATGATGTTACTTGTTTTTTTAGTTTTATGTGTGTGTGTGTGTGTACCATCAAATCAGATTTGACTGGTACAGGAGGAGATTGCCTCTCATTCTCCAATAGAGCATCTGGTGGATTCAAACCATGCACCTCTGGGATTGCAGTGCAGCTTCTTGCCACTAGGCCACCAGAGTTCCCTGACAATGATGCTAATTGTGGGTGAAGTGCAGTGCTGTGAGAATGAAAGACAGAGAGATCAGGGGGAGTTTGCATGATTAAGCAAGGTGGTGTTCAGCTTGTGTTTGTTAGGTGCTGTAGAGTCAACTACAACTCATGAACAATAGATGGGAACCTTAACCTAGCCTACAACATCATCATGATCCCTACCATGCGCAAGCCCACTACAGTCATAGCGTCAATCCATCTCATTGAGATCTTCCTCTCTTTTGCTAGGGGAAGAAGCTATTCTGGGATGGGAAAAAGTTGTTGGGGGGTGAGGAACCCAACACAGT